TTGATTTGAATTTGACTCAACTCAAATAAATTCAAGTCAAAATCAAGTCGAGTCAAACTCGAGTTGAGTCAAATTGATCGAGTTTAAAATTTATATAACTCGAATCAAGTCAAGTTGAAAAATTTTATAAAATAAATTTGACTTGACTCGACTCGAAAAAAATGAGTTGAATCGAGTTGATCCTTAAACTCGACTCAACTCGACTCATTCGGAACTCTAATCTATCCTGCATATTGAGATTCATTAAATAGAAAATTTTAAATAGAAAATTTTTTTTCTTTGTGAATTGTGACTAAATATATCTGAAGACAAATTTTGACTAAGCAGATTACTATATCATTTTTAATATAGTTTACGATTTATTGATCTCCTTATTTATATATTTTTAGCATATGATTTTAAAAAAATATTTAAACTAAACCAATACTATATCCTTTTTTTATAAAGGACAATAGAGAAAATCTACCATCTGATACTCATATAAAATAAATAATTTTTCTCATTAACTAAAAAAATTTTTTCGTTTATTTAAATTTTAAAAAAATTGAATTTAAAAAAAAGGAAAAAAATAATACAAAAAAAAGAATTCCATTTAACATACTTTAATACTCATAAAAGTATCCTTTATCTGTTATGTGATGAGTCATATAAAGCATCTGATGAGAGAACATACAATCAAAGATATTACTATGATCACAAAATTAAGCGAAAATAATCAAAATATAATGTACTTTTATATGAAGATATTCGTTTTATTTAATAAAAATTCTGAGCACAATATCAGTAATTTCAAAGATAAAAGGATGATTTACTTAAAGAAAAAGTTTATCAGTTGTGATAATTAGTATATGATATATAATTGATTAAAAAGAATAAAAAAAATAATAAAAAAATAAAAAATAAAAATATACTAATCTGCTTACTATAACATGATAAAATTAATATAACTTTGATTAAAGAAGTTAAAATTGATTATAATCTTATTTTAATTATAGGGCTAAACATAATAGTAATAGACATAATGAATCAGACAGTCAAAAATATTAATGGATTTTTAATGTTTAATTTCTTCATAGAAAAGTATTTAAAGAAAAGGAAGCCTAAGGACTTCTGGATCAAAGTTAAACATTACGTGAACAACAACTACCTAACAGAAAAAATAAATTCTATTAATTAACATGATCATTTAATATTAGTGATACTTATTAGATTAATAAATTACTAACAACACATAAATGACGTAACGATCAGGAAGGAATTATTATCCAAAAAAGCATGTTTTGATATTGAAAGATATCTCTTTCATTTTATCATAACAAGCAAATAGAGCAGTCTAAATTCTGAGTTTACTATAGATGAATCCTTTGTCTACAAGCTTTACTCACAATAAAGGTAAAGATAGTAAAAGGCTATGAGACGTAATACTGAAATTCTGTAACTATGATATTTTAGCATGAATAAGAAGTTTGAGACCTCTAGCAGAGATCCTACAAAGCAACCTGAATCTATTTTACCATTTGTAATTGAAGAACTTCCATCTGAATACCTCGATAAAGGATTAAAGATTAAACTAAATGAATAAATGTATTGTTATAAATTTTAGAATTATTTGCCAAGATTGCTATAAACTGAAAATTAATAAATATAAAAAAAGATTCTTATTATTAAAAATAAGCTTTTATTAAAAAAAATTATTAAATCTTTTTTATTATTAAATTTTATTTCTTTATCTACAATTTTAATGATTTATTTTTTACTTTTTTTTTATTCTCTTTTTTCTCAATTTTTCATGTATATCATTCTTCTTTTCTTTTTGTTTAATAGAATACATTAAAATTAAATGATAATTTTATAACTAATATGTATACAAAATAAATGTTTAATCTCAAAAGATGATGATAATAATTATTATTTCTTTACACAAGAGAAAATTAACATCCACATTTTTTATTTTTTTTAAAAAAAAATAAAAAAAAGACATAATATATTAAATAATAAAAATACATATTGTCAATGAAGCAATTGATTGATCATAATAAAATCACATAGATGACGCAGTAAGATGATTTCTTAATCCAGAATTCTGAAAATACTGAGAATTCTGTGAATTCTGAAAATACGAAGAATCTATGAAATTCTAAAGATCTTTTAAATACTGATGATAATTTTAATTTTACGAATTAAATGAAATTTAGTATTATACTTATTTTTAATATTCTAAATTTTATTGTTATTTTTATTATATTTTATATTTTTATTATTTTAC